GATAATTTCGATATCTTTATTGTAAGTTATAATTATAATGAAAATAAGTGAAAAAATCCGAAGGAATTAGAAATGGTGTTGTATGAAATAGGTATAGGCGTGGTTGTGGTCCGATTCCGAATGTGAACAATGTACAAATAAGTGACCTTTCATTCGATTAATTTGAAATATGGATATTTCTCAAAGAAAACCCGTAGTAGTCTGCCAAGAAAACGCCAACATTCCTCAGATGCCCCAAATTTCTTCTATAATATATAACCAAAGTTATCGCTCAGATTCAAAATCAGGCTATGCAGCAGGTTCATTGTGGGCCAATTAAATCTGTCCTATAGCGAGAAATTACGTTATTTTAACTATCAATATCTCTACTTGGACCTACCAATACCAAAATTAAACATTTTTCTGTCAATATTGGGAAACCCTTTATTTTGATTAATAAAAAATTATAACGATTCGAAGAAACGCTACGAAATCATGCAGAGTTTATAATGCAATAGATAAAATTCATAAATATTTTTGTATCAACACATTACAAATACCGACGCTTTACCAAATTAGCAAAATATAATGGTGCAAACGAATTGTGACAGCATGCTTATAATATAATATTTATATACATATATACGCCGTTTTAACGTGATATGGTGGTATTTTATGTTATTTATAAATATTAGGATTATTAAAAAGGAGCTTATAACAAAATATTTAAAGGTTTTTGTATAACGAAATATATTTACAGTATTGGTCAAAACTAAAGTACCCTGATACACGCGCAATTTTTTTCGTCGATTCTATTTCGATTTGATCGTTTTATCAGGACAACGCCAAGCCACACACCTCGATAGTGATGACGACGGTCCGGAAGACGAGGGAGTTCGTATATATCCACCTTATAGTTCAGTCCTGGCACCAAATAATTACTACCTTTTCCTGTCTATGGCTGATTTTGCTAGTGAATTCTTCTCAAGAGAAGCTTGTGAAAATCGACTGTCCCAGTGGCATTATGAAATTTCGTCCAAAATGGCAACAAGTCAACGAACTACACGTTGCATATTCGACAGATCATTCTAACTATAATAAACAAATCCGCCAAAATTATTGAACTTATTTTTACTAGTCCTTATATCTACACATATTAATCAAATCGCCTTCTGATTAACGTACTTCTTGTAGGAATAGAACGAAAGAACTTGACAAGTTGACCTTTTCGTCAAACAACGCCTTCTAAATAATACAGTAATATCTACTAACTAACTAATATAAAGACAAATTTATGTTTGCCAGTTAATCTAGTTAATATTTGACAGACGACCCCTTGTAGCACGGTTGTTCACTCAACGGTCGACCATTTAACGTTTTAAAGTTCAATTTACCAAAACTTAAATTTATTAGGCAGCCCAGACAAAAGTATTTTATTCTCGGATGATTCAGTGAAGAAAGTAAAAGATTTATTTCATGTTGGAAGAATGCAGACCTCAGTTCAAGTATTATTGCAACTATGCAGATGATGTGGTGGTAACATTTTGGCCTAGATCGTGCTCATTCTCCTGATCTGGAGCAATTTTTTTTCAAAACTTTTATGATATCGATATATTATATATAAGAAAAATTTCTGACAGACGATCAGATGAACAGAAAGACAATCGGAAATCAATCCGGCTAGTTATTTCGATCGTTTTCATATATGTATGTAACCAGCTGATCATTTTGATACATAACTGTATATCGATAGTATATCGACTAGTTTCACAAAATAATTATACTCAGTGGCAACATATTGCAAGAGAATAAAAAGGCTCTCGTTGCTAGATTTTTGGCCAATACTGTATAAGCTCGCAATCAAAGCCGCCGCAACACGTCGCTCGCAGACAAGACGCACTTAACAAATACTCCATGGTTCATTAAATACACGGAATTATTGGCAATTTATACGAGTAAAACCCACAATAAAGATATCACTCCGAAGCATATATGTGCGTATTCTACTTAATAAGGCATCGATTAATAGCACTGGCCATTGGTTGCGTAGCAATCGGTGCCACGCACGGATTGGTTGCTGGTTTGGCTGATTAGTTGGTTGGTTGCTCGATTCGTTGACCACCTATGTAGATTGGCTCAAGTACAAATGGCGCATAAATCATAAGGGCAACAATAACAACAAGCATCATTAGTTAAACGACCACTTATGGCAACGTAGGCGCTAAAAATAAATGAGTCAGCCAAAGAAATAAAAATAGAAACAACAAATGAACACAATATGTATTAATATGTTAGCCCAAATATGTACACACTCACATTCACAGAGCTGAAGCTCGTAATTATCACCATCCTAGCGCCATATCAGCAAGATAAAGGTCTTCGACAATGGCACTTGTTGGAATGCAGTGCTTTCGAGCGTTAAACAAGAAAACACGTTAACTTCGGCTGCACCGAAACTTTAATACCTTTCACAGGTGCATTTAAGGGTAAAAAAAATATCAATTCTTGATTTTGATTGATCAGTTTGCATGGCAGCTATATGCTATATTAATTCGATCTGAAAAATTTGTTCGGATATTGTACCGTTGCCTTTGAAAATAAACCATGCCAGATTTCGTGAAGATATCTTGTCAAATAAAAAAGTTTTCCATACATAAACTTGCTTTTGATCGTTCAGTTTGTATGGCAGTTATATGTATATGCTATGGTGGTGCTATATCGACAGTTCCGACAAATAAGCTGCAGCTTCGAGAAAAAGAGACGTGTGCAAAATTTTAGATCGATATCTCACCAACTGAGCGACTAGTTCGCATATATACAGACAGACGGACATGGTTAAATCGACTCAGCTCGTCATGCTAATCATTTATACTCGTATATACATTTTATACGGTCTCCAACGTTTCCTTTTGGTTGTTACAAACTTCGTGGCATACTAAATATACCTTACTCAGGGTATAAAAATACATACAAACACAACTGCATACATATGAGTGCATTCCAGTTGTGTTGCAATGTTTATGCAAATGCAATGCTACCTAAAACTAAACGAGTGGACAAAAATAGGTAAACGCTAGCAAACAAATCCACAAACAAAATGCATACACACGCCCACATATGTGTGTGTATATTCTCATGGTTACAGCCATCTAAAAAATTCAGAAATTTAAAATATGGGTATCCATTTTCAAATCAAGTTTAAAATGCAACTATGCAGGGCTGCATTTATTCAACACAATTTGCATTACTTTCAGATAAATTATAGATTAAGATAAGGAAATAAAAATAACACGTGGATGCAGTGGCTAGCGCTTGGGCCGGTGGCATAAGCGACGCATGCGCTTTGCCACCGAAAATAAATATGTTTGTGTGTATATTAATTCTATGATTTCGATCGCTTACAAAAAATGTTGTTACTATGCAGCTGCAGATATGTTTATCAATTAGAAATATTTTAAGTCAAGGTGTTCTATTTTAAGGCCCATATGTTGCTAAATATGTATACATACATACACATGTTTATTAAACTATTTTTTGAAATAGTTTTGAAATTATCGCTAGATTAAGCGATCTAAAATTTACATAATACAAGTATGTACCATATAAGGTCTAGTTAAAACAAATAATACTAAAATACTAAAAAAAAACTTCGCATCCAGTTTTGCGACTGCTTCACATTGTATTGTTTGAGCACGCGTCAAAAATAGACCAACTGTCGAAAATATCGTTAAAATAAGCAGTTAGGAATCATTTCAATAAGGCTGAATACAAAAAGAAGTTTGATATATGGGTGTCACACGAGGTAACGCAAAAAAACCTCATGGTTCGAGTTTTCAGCCGCGAATCGGTGCCAAATCGTCACAACATTTCTGAAACGGATGGTTACTGGCGATGGTCTGATTCTTCCGACGGTCCGGAAGGTTTTGATATGCCAACATCTACCTTCGGTTGCACACTACAAAGACGATGCCGTCAACTCCACAAATACGATAATGAAGGTAACAATTACAAGTCTAAACCTGGTCTAAGTTGTATGGTTTAATTTGATTAGAAGCTCTATTGTTTCTAGATGGACAAGCCGTGTACACTTTGGTATTCAAACTGAAGCAATTAGATCAGAATACATAACCTAGAGCAATAACCTTAACTAGAATGGCATTTCATCCAAACGTTTTCAAGTAATTGGTCTCAAAGTGATGCGACCACTGCTATTTTAACAACCTAAACAACAATATTAATGCGTGTTATTGAATCGATTGGAAGACGAACACAGAGTTAGGCAAAAGACCATTCAGCTAATTTAAACATACCCAAGCAAAACATTTTTCAGTACTTCTATAATGTTCTGATTCCAATTGTGTCGGATTTTTAGGGACAACTACTGTATTTCGTTTACAATGGATAACAGTTTATCGCATAAAATTCATTAGAAGAGAGGTCGGTTGAAATTTTCAAACATCACACAAGAAAAAATGGTAACTTCGGTTGCACCAAAGCTATAATACCCTACACAAATACAAAACAAAAAAAACTTGATTTTGCTATGTTGTAATGGTCCGATCATAGCAATTTCTTCGGAAATTGCACTGTTGCCTTGCGCAAGAATACATGCCAAATTTATTGCAGACATCTCGTCAAATGAAAAAGCTTTTCATACAAACACTTATTTCCGATCGTTAGTTTGTATGGCAGCTATATGCTAGAGTGATTCAATAGCGGTTCAACTAATGAGCAGTTCCTTGGGAAGAAAAGGACGTGTGCAAAATTCAAGATCGAGATCTCAAAAAATGAGGGACTAGTTCGCATATATACAGACAGACAAACGGAAATAGCTAAATAGACTCAGCTCGTAATGCCGATCATTTCTATATATATTTTATAGAGTCTGCGACATTACCTTCTGGGTGTTACAAACTCCCTAGAAAACTTTAGGGTAAACAAAAAATAATATAATAAAATTAATTTAGTTTGATTTGCCTTAGTCATACAAACCGAAAATTGAAAAAGTCAAAGTTTAATAATCAAAGCGCTAAATTTAAAAATCTGAAATCTGATCACCCTAACAAATACTTGTAGCTTCAGTTTCCACTCAAACCACGTATGCTTTTGTTTACTTTTGTCTTGTTTATTTGTTGTTAGCTTTTGTGGAACTACACTCGTTTCGAGTTGCTCCAGTTTAAGTGATCGTTCGAACTAAACTCGTTCATCGGCACAAGCATCGGCACAAGCTAGCAGTGAAGAATTTTCGGTTATTGTCACACGTAAAATGACTTCGGTCAAGTTTGTGCGTAAAAACGAGAAGTATCGCACAATAGATACTAACTAAAAGGCGTGAGTTATGAGAACTTTTTGCTAAACAAATTTGCTTAAATAATTTATATTAAGTTATAATTATCTTTTTCCATTTAGTAAAATATCTCATTATATGACAAGTGATATGCATAGCATTAATGAAATGAGAGACACGCAAATTAAAGGTAAGTTGCCTGAAAATATGAAAATTTTAAAAAATAGATCGTAAGTTTAACATGTTGTATTTTTGTGCCTTATAGATTTATTATATACTACGTACGATAAAAATTATTAAAATATAATTGTGTAGGTAGAACTCACACTCAAAGTACTACAAAGTATATAATTTGATTTATATAAAAGGAATTGTCCAACATTTCACCAATTAATTGAAAATAGCTAAATAACAAGTCATTATTTTACAAGCACTTACTAACTTGTGATGCAATTCTATGATTCTTAATCGCTTTAAATTGTTAAAGAATTATCGGAGGGTGTTTGTTCATCGGAAAAATTTATTCGAAGCGTAAATCTTTAATAATAAATAATAGTTTATATACAAATTAGTCTTACAAAAAAGTGACCATTGAAACACAACCTCTTTCATTTCTAACTATCAACAATCTGAATATTTTTCAAGTAGCATTCTTTTTTTGTGCACGAATTAAACTTTAGTATCATAAATAATAACTTTTGATACAATATAACGGAAAAAGCTAACCACTCGATTAAGGCATAATCCAATATTAGAGTACTTCTAAAATACAGGCTTCTAAAATTGTTATCTCAAATTCACCCTCACATTTTCTGAAATCTTATAACGTATTCAAAGTACTAAGCTATCATACAAGGTGCGTTCCAGAGTAAACAGGACTTCAAAAAAAAAAGACAAAACAAATGGATTTATCAGCAAAATCAATTAATTTTATTCAAAATAGTCTCATTCTGCTTTAATACAACGCGGTTGCGCGGTCCAAAAGCATGTCGAACGAGTGTTTTAGCTCGTTGCCCGGTATGGCCACCAGTATGCCGGTGCAAGCCTTTTGAATGGCCTCCACGTCTGCATAACGCTTTCCTAGAAGTCGCACGGTGCCATATCAGGTGGATACGAGGAGTGGTTGATTGTTAAAATGTGATTTTTGGTCAAATAATCGGCCACAGGCGTTGATCGATGAGACGGCACATTATCATGCAACAAACGCCAACTTCCATCTTCGCGATATTCGGGCCGAACACGTCGAATACGGCGCACCAAACGCTTCAAAACTCCAAGGTAGAATACCGCATTAACGTTTTGGCCGGTTGGAACAAATTCTTTGTGGACAATACCCTTGGAATCATAAAAACAAATCAGCATTGTCTTCACTTTTGACTTCTCCAGGCGCGATTTTTTGGGTTTCGGCTCATTTCTCATTTATGTCCTCACGACCACTTTGAAAACGTTGAAACCACTCGTGCACTCTGCTACGGGATAGGCAATCCTCGACATAAACTTGTTTCATCAATTGAAACGTTTCGGCAAAAGTTTTACCAATTTTAAAACAAAATTTAATGTTCGCTCTTTGTTCGAAGCTCATTTTCGCACCGATGACAAAAACATACTGACTCTTAAAACGCAATAACTTCACTTCCAATAGATGAAATGTCATGAACTTTTTACTGGAAGTCGATAAAGGATAGTAGATTCTAACGCACTAGTCGACATATAGATGGCGCCACTACTTTGTTACTTTTTTACTGTTTACTTTGGAACGCACTTGTATGCAGCACTTTAGTACGAGATGTGTTAAAAGGAAAAGGTGTATTTTATTTTTTTGCGGGCTGTGTACATTCGATTATCGATATTTTATTTTTGTTATAATCGCATTAGGAGCCAATTTCGATAAGTAGTTTGTTTTTGACAACAGAAAAGTTTAGTCAGGTTTCTGTGTGCTCTTCGATTCTTGACTTTTAAAAGAAATGGATCAAAGAATATGTATTACATTTTGCATTAAAAATGGAATAAAGTACTCCAAGGTGGCATTCGGTTAGTCCACTTTGTCTCAAAAAATTGTTTATAAGTGGTACAAGCGCTTTACAGAAGGCCGAGAAGCTGTTGATGACGATGAGCATCCTGGAGGTGTGACCACGTCAACAAGCGAAGAAAACATCGAAACAGTGAAAAAAATTGTTTTTGAAAATATGTAGTTCAGACTTGAAGCAAGATCTGGTGGCCATACCGGAAAGCGCTTATTCAGAATACTTCGAGGATTAGAAAGAGAGTTGGCACGAATGTGTTATATCCGAAGGGGATAACTTTAAAGGGGACAAAATAGATATCGAGAAATAAATACTTTTCAAAACAATACAAAATTCACCTTTTCCTTTGAACACACCTTAATACAGAATGCTTATTTATAATTTGTTTCCGAAAGCGAGAAAAAAATTAATGAAGCAATTAATTATTTAATGAAATTATTTAATAAAACAATTAATAATTATTTTACAAAAATATATTTACATTTCCGCATTTGTGCGATTAGTTAATAAAACAATAGATACCTAAATTAGTGTCATTTTCCGATTTTATGTCAGAATAAGGCTAAAACATATATTTTAAATTGAAATATGAATGTGTTTGGGACAAATTTTGTAAATGAAAAACCAACAACTTGGTTATTTGAATTTTTTACATACATTTTGAGATTATACTTTAAAAAGCTGTTATCACAAAATGTTTAGATTTTGTATTACCTACAACTTTGCCATTAGTAGTTTTGCCGGAAATCAACCAACCACCTCCCTCCCCTTCCTCTTCCCTACCGCAGCTCGCCCGCAAATAAGTTTTTCTGTCATTTTTATTATTTCATCCTCCTTTTATAATAGGTGTCATCCTACTAGAATTCTTTTGCTTTTAAAAATTATCGACCCTGAACTGAATAAAATTCTATAATCATCAATCATGTAATCAAAGTATGATTTCAAAGCAAAAATGATGGTTGCTTTTAGGCATAGATCCAACATAAATTGTTCTGGACTTCCGTGTGTGTGAATTCAGGTAATGAACTGTTACAATGAAAGTCGTAACCTATATCAATATGATACTGTAGAACTAGTTTCTCGTCATTTTTCATGACACTATCTAACGAAAATAATATCCTTTTTTATGTAGTAATGTATGGTGTATTATTTGATCGTGTTGTCCTATCGTCTATAATCATCGCAAGAGTAATGTTAATCTAAGGTAACACAATTCAGTTATAACTTCTTTTTCATTCAAGCACTCACTTAAATAGCTTAGGCACTTGAGCCGACATCGAATAATTATCTAACAAAATTTAAGAACTAGTTTTTCACATAAGAATGCAACCTTTAATTGGTATTTCCTATATTTATATATTTTAATATAATATTTTTACATATCCAGCTGCAGTTGATTAACTAACCGTAAACTGACGACCGCAGGGTAAAAAGTCAAGTTCAGTGAAATCATCAAACCCATCTCAACACAATCGACAACTCGGTGAGCCGGCTATAGCAGACAAACGCGCAGACGCAATGAAATTGGCGAAATTCTTGTTTTACCAGCGCTTAATGAATTGGCCAATTCGCGAATCGGCACAATGTCATATTTGAATATTGAAATATTGAAAAGTCGACACCACAATGGATTGAAAGGCGGCTACGATGAATTATGACAAAGGCATTTTGATTTATGTATTGTTGAGGCGACAAGTGGTTAAAACAAAAAGCAGTCAAAACAGTGATACTTGCAATAAGACTGAGCGCTTGGAAATTCGTACCGCATGCTGTTGGTGTTGCCCACCGCCCACCCTTCTCGCGGTACTGCATTATGCATTGCGACTCATTTATGGATGTGACCGAATGTTATGCGAATAGGTGAGTGCGTTCGCTGTATAATTAATATGTTTTTTTTTAACAATTATATTGTCAAAGCTTGGCTGCAGAAAGCACCGTTAAATATGCAAAGATTAGCGCACAATAACAAAAAGTCATCAGTCAGTTAATCGGAGGGGTAAAGCACAGAGGAGGCGTGGTCGGTTTTCGAAGTGTGATTATGAAAAATATTAAAGACAACATGTTTGCACATGCGCAGATACATATGATTATATGCTAGGTCAATATGAATGATGCGATGTGCAGATGTGCATATGTATGTTATTTAACTCATGACAAGTTAAGCTCAAGCGCTTACGGCTTATTACCACTCATAATTAAGCTACAATTAATCAGAAAGCAAATCAAAAAACTGATAAATGTTTTTTTTTTGTTTTTGTTTTTGAACATTAAAAAAAGTAGTTATTAACTATTTGGGCGTTTCAGTATATATTATTTGAAATAAAAAAATTTTAGATTGCGTTTTATGCGGTGAATGCCGCAAAGCCGTTAGACAAATTGCAATGAGGAACCAGTAACACATCTGCGTAATCATAGTGGCTATAAAAAGCACAATCAGCTGTAGCAAAGGCATCAGTCAAACAGTGAACAACCAACAGCAAGTGGTTTTGTGTTGATACTAAACTAAACAAACAATAAGTCAGAAAATGCGTCTATTTTTGGTAAGATATTGACACTTCAAAGGAATAAATAAACATTAAAAAATAACAACAAACGCTGCTCTCTCACCAAAAACGTAGGTACTTTGCTGCGCTTTAGTTGCAATCGTTAATGGCAAACCACAAGGATACAATTATGGCGCTGGCGTCTCGGGCGGTAACGCACAGGGTGGCACTTACCATAGCGGCAGGAGTTTTGGCGGCGGTCTGAGCGGACTCGGTGCCAGTGGTAGTGGTCTCGGCGGCTTTGGCAGCGCCACAAACAACGGTCCAAGCTTCAGTGGTTTCGGCAGCGGTGGCAGTCAGAGCGCTGGTGGGTTCGGCAGTGGTATCGGTGGCGGCAGCTTCGGTGTCGGCTCCGGTGGTTTCGGCAGCGGCGTTGGGGGCAGTTTCAACGCTGGTACTGGTGGATTTGGTGGTTTCAGTGGACAACAACAAACTGGTATCTTTGAAGCACCACTTGTGCATAAGCAATTCATTACCGTTTCTGCGCCTGAAGATCATGAAACACTCGAGAAAACTAAACATTTCGTTATTGGACGCCCACAAAAGAACTACCGTGTGGTCTTCATTAAGGCGCCATCTTCCAGCTCGGCTAATGTCAAACTCTCAGCTGAATATGCACCACAAGAAGAGAAGACCGTCATTTATGTGTTGTCCAAGAAGGACTCGTCACTCGAAGTCAATGACATTGCCACACCAGCACCAACTGTGCCCGCCAAGCCAGATGTATTCTTTATTAAATACAAAACCGAGGAGGAAGCACATCACGCACAACAACAAATTCAAGGTAGAGTAATATGCAATGCTTTATGAAGAGCAAGAAATATTAAAAAAAAAAAAAATTCGAACTCTCCACAGCCGAATACGACAGAATCGAAGGCACATCTGAACACACCGATGGCGGCATTGGTCAACAACAATCGGTGGTTGGCATTCTGGATGGTGGTGCTGGACAAGCTGGTGGTAATGGCGCTGGTATTGGTGGCGGTGTTGGTGGTAGCTATGGCTCTGGCAGCGTTGCTGGCATTGGAGGCATTAGTGGCGGTGGTGTTGTTGGCGCTTCTAGTTCTAACTTTGCTGTTAGCCAAAGCAATTCCAGTGGTGCTAAATCATCCACCTATTTGCCACCTGCCAAAGCAGTGTAAAAATTGAATATTTAGCATTTTTCAATTATAATGTTTGTTATGTCGATCTTTATTTTATTAAACGCAATACCTCAGAAGCAATTTAAATCACTGCTCTATAAAGAAGTTTAGAGTGTTCACTGTAAAAAACAGCGAAGGAATACTTTTTATATGAAATTTTTGAATAAAAACCGAAAATCAAAGTTATCTCTTACTTAAAGGAAACGGAAGTAGAATTTTTACACAAAAACCAAAAAAGTATAAATATAATTATAAGTAAATATTGACAGGTGTAGTTCGTATAGCATAAAAATGTGTAAAAAGATCTTTGCCGTGATTCTGATCGGTTGTTCGTATGGTAGATATAGCTTATTCGGAGATTATAGCGTTGCCTTACATAATAATTCATGCCAAATCTCGCGAAAATAGTTTGTCAAATAAAAAAGTTTTCAATACAAGAACTTGATTCTGATCACTCAGTTTGTGTGGAAGCTATATGCTATAGTGGTTCGATCTAAACAATATTTTCGGAGATTGTAGCGCTGCCCTGGATAATAGTCTGTTTCGAATTTCATGACGATATCTCGTTAAATATAAAGTTTTCCATACAAGGACTTAAATTTTGATCGATCATTTTGTATGGCATATACAATACATATTTTATATTCTATAGGCGTTCAATATTGGCAACAAATTAGTAGTTTCTTGGGAAGAAAAAGTCGATATCTCAAAAACTGAGTAACTAGATCGCATATACAGACAGGCAAATGTACATAGCTAAATGGACTTAGCTCATCAAACTCTCCGACGTTTCCTGCTTGGTTTTACGAACTGCAAGGCAAACACACATATACCATGTTCAGGATATAAAAATCCAATTAAATTATTAAGGAAATACTGATGATTAAGCGTTAATTTTTCACAATTGCTTGATAAAAGAAACCTCGGTTCAAAAGTGAAAAACGTGTTCTAAATAATATTCATATACAATAGATAAAAAAAATCAGATACCTATGTGTCTAGTATTAAAGATTCCAGACAACTCTTTAATCATTATTGTCCTACAATCGTTCTTATGCTTTCAATTGTAACTAATAAATCGGTCAACATTTTAAATTTTTCCTAAACCAAAACAAAAAGAATAAAACATTTCTTCACTCACCCACAAAGTTGATCGCCTTTTTCAGCAGCAAATCGGATAGACTCTTGTCGAGTGTATCGATTTCACGACATGATCTATACAAGCTAGATATCATTGACTCCACTGTGTATGACGCACCAGACGATGGCAACATTGATATGAAACGGTTGAGCTCATTCAGTTCTTGTGGGCGACATAGAGGAGAAAGTCAAATATATATAGAAGACAATACAATTTAAATAGCGCATGACTTACCTTCATACTCATTGTAGGTCTTGTAATTCCATTCACCACGCTTTATAACATAGTAATCATTTTCTGCATATTCACGTTCGAAATTGCCACACGCCCATTCGTAGGTGTCGTGGCAGGGATTTTTAGAAATATTGGCCCACAGCAACAGCTGTTGGCTTGTCTGCACACATTCCTTCTCCAGACACAATTCGGCACGGAAGTAGAATGGCACATCCGGCCAGAAGGCAATCAACATAACGATTATGACTAAGAGTAAGGCACAAAAGCAAACGGTCGTTATGTAAAGTATGCGACGTTTGCGCGAGAGCTGCATTAGTGCGTCCAGGGAAAGGCGACCTGGAAGTAGGAAGGCTTTAACGAGCACAATCAAAACAATGCGCGTGAATATGAAATGAGAGATGAAAATGAAAAATAAATTATTTAATGGCGTGAATGACAAAAATGTGTCAAATATGCATTTAATAGAAAATTTAAGCAAGTACTCACCACGAAAACCATTGGCAGTTGCATTATCAGTGTCGGCGGTGAGTCCATCCGTTTTGCTGTTACCATTGCCACCAATATTATCATCTATCTGCGATTCAACATCCTTCCCCGTACGATTACTGGGTTTAATGTGTAATTTCTGTTGGTTGGTCGTCAAGGGCGCCGTTTCGCTGCCCTCGATTTGTTGCTTTTGGAGATCATCGTTTTTTAGACTACGATCGTCAACCTCATCGATGGCGCATATGCTGGGCTTATATTTGCCCTGGTTAAGAGACATTTTGATTGGCAAGAATTTTCGGCAGTTCTTGGATATTTATTTAAGTAGTTGTACAATTTCACTAAACCACTAGCATTCTGAATAATCGCATTTAATGTCCTTCCAAATATCTGTAACATAGAATGAACCAACGAAACATTATTTGCTGTAATTTGTTTTAACTTATATGAACTGTTTTGACTATTATGGAACATTAAATTTATTGGCGAAAAAATTTTCACCCATTTCTCAAGGCTATATGCCGTTAGATAGCCTTAACTTGTGACATAAAAACAAGAACGAATGTTCATTGAAAAGGCACTATCACCTACAAGGATTTTGAATCTGAAAGACCAATTGACATTATTTCTATCTAAAATCTCAAGAGTTCGATATTAAGGGTTCGCTAAAATTTTGATAACTACACTAGGGCACTATGGTTTGAGGGTTAAAACATATCTGCTAACATAATATAACCGAAAACTGAAGTGAGAGGCAACACTAAAAATAATCCCATATGTTTTTTAGGTAGACCTAATGTCGAAAAGATAGTGTAGAAATTTCACTGCTATCGGGCAAATGGTTCGTGAAATATCGTATTTTTATTGATGCATGTTCTGAAAAAAACAACAATAAACGTTAACTTCAGTTGCACCGAAGCTATAATACTTTTCACAAATACAAAAGATTCTTTACAAAAACTTGATTCCGATCGTTCAGTTTGTATGGCAGCTATATGTAATGAGCAGCTTCTTGGGAGAAAAGAACGTGTGCAAATCGATATCTCAAAAACTGAAGGGCTAGTTCGCGTATATACAGACAGACATGGTCAAATCGACTCAGCTCGTCACGGTGAACATTCAGTTATATATTTTATAGGGTCTCAAACGTTTCCTTCTAGGTGTTGCAAACATCGTGGCAAACTTAATATACCCTGTTCGGTGTATAAAAATGGATTAAAAGGAATTTATTGTGTTAATGAAAATATATATACTTCATATGTATTTAAAGAAAAAATTTAAAAATTATTGAGTTTCCGGCTCTGCGCCCGATGATGATGAATCCAGTGAAGCTTTTTGAGGCTATTAATGGACGGAAATATCAAAAATATCTACAACATTATTTTGGATGAACATCAAATACAGTTGATCGAGACAGCTAACACTCTTAAGATATCAAAGGTTTATATTAGTTATATCGTTCCTGATTATTATTTAGATAAGCAATATTTTTTTACAATGTGGATGCCGAGCGAATCCACAATCAACTAAAAATAACAACAAATTGATGATTCTGAGCAATGTTTGAAGTTTTAAAGCAAAATAATCCCAAGAGTTGGAGTTGACAGTGGATGAAAAACACTCATCATAATGGAGTGCAGGCAATGAACTGAATCCCAATAATGGAAATATGCGGCAGACCGCTGACAAAGTTATGACGACTATATTTTGAGGTGTGCATGGAATCACAAACCTCAAGATATGACTGAGGCCGATTACCTCTTAAAATCAAATCGTACTACAAAATAAGGATTGTAAAGTTGGAAAATCGCTATAAGCTTAGATGGGCCGTTATATCTAAGATACAACTCAGACGTAAACATTCCAACGTGGTAGCAGAAAAGTTAGATGTCTTTTGCTCTTCTACCATTAATTTTCGAAAAGGTCTGATTTTGTTATTCATTACATTTCTATCATAAGTTAAGTACATACATACGAGTATATATGTAATTCGGCATACATATTACGATTACCACTCAAATGTAGGCAAGAAGCATCAATGACATTTATAACACAAAATTTACAACGGAAAATGAACAATAAAATACCAGCCTAAAATATACTCAATGCGTGCAAATGTGTTAGGCCACGACGCAACTAATTAAAATTTGTTTGTTGTGTTTTCACGGCCTGCACGCCCTAAGAGTGCAATCTTTCACACACCGAGCAATTAAAACACCATTAAATATCGCCGATCCACATGGGCGAATGATCAAGCAGTGAATAATTTTTCTTATTCTATTAAAAACGCATCAATTCATTTTAGGCTTGACGTGTGCCTACATTTTTTTAACCGTATGTCTTTTAGTTTTGTGTAAATATATGTGTTTATGCTTCAGACTTTGTAGTGACCTTGACATAGAGTGTTAATTGTAGGTAGGGAAAATGGAGACATAACTAATTCGTATTTAATGATTATGCTAGATATGTGTTTCCTAACACTATATATAAAAATTGGAAGCTTCTGGGTGATTACTTGTTTCATACAGTCATATTGTTGACAGTACAAATCCGAATTAAAGGAAACAGCTCATAGTAGATTATTTCTTGCCAATGCCACCAAACACGTAGCAAAACCTTCTTGACCGTTAATCCTGGGATTGCCACTTTTTTTTGTTTTTAAATAGTTATAATTGAGCAAAAAACATCCTTCCTTTCCTTTACCTTGTAAATTAAATCTCAAAGACCTGTGCAAAATTTCATTAAGAGCGGTTGAGTAGTTCGCAAGAAATCTTGACAACCGACTTTGAAAACACTGTTTCGAGAAAAACGCGTTTAAAGTTTTAAGTGGCCATATGGCTGACCTTGAGCACGCAACTTTTCAAAGCTGTATCTCCAAAACTATTACTGGTATCAACTTGAGAATTTAGGACAATATTTTAGAGATGTTATAAAATTAAATAAGACAATACAATTTTTTTTTTTTTTTAAGCCGTGAAACCTATGCAACTCCTTAACCGCCTGGCTTGCGTTTTCGCCTTTATTGAAGAAAAACTTTCATACTAATATTGTTACTTAAACAAAAATACTACAATATATATATTAAAATGTTGCATAAACAGGAAAAAACGTAAACTTCGGGTGCACCGAAGCTATAATACCCTTCACAAATACAATGGCTCCTTGCAAAAGCTTGATTCCGATCGTTCAATTTGTGTGTTTATGGCAGCTATATGCTATAGTGGTCCGATATCGGGCAGCTAAATGAGCGGCAAATGAGCAGCTTCTTAGTGAGAAAAGGACGGCTGCAAAATTTCAGATCAATATCTCAAACAGTGAGGGACT